AAGACGGGGTGCCGAGGCTTGAGGACTGATTTGGAGATTCCTGAAGATGTCGGCACCATGTGACGAGCAGATGCTGCACGCAAAACGATGCATGACGCGTCAGAAGTAGCCTGTTTTCGCTTACCCGCCCTGCTGTATGCAAGTAAGGCGACCCGGCTGATGGCACCACACGACGGGCGATGTGGCATGATTTTATTTGTGTATGCGCAATTCATGGTTGTACGTGGGCTGGGATACTGCCAGGGCACCCATATCTAGACAAAAGGACGGTTAGGGTCCCCAACCAAAGCCTTTGGCTCAAAGGCCTAACCCCAAGGCAGCGGTGTTTGGCGGGAAATGCAAATGCATTACCATTTCTACAGAACAAGTCGCCACACGTTCCAAGTCCCAACCTGGAGGGCCTGGAGACTGTGTTCGTCAGACTTCTAACCATTGACCAACCTGGTATGAGAGACTGTGTGAGTGTCGCGGGACACTCTCCAGTATAGCTCGATGGATCGCTGAGGTGCGCAAACCGTCACCCGACGGTAAGGTCCAGTCTCTTCGTGACGGAATCTGTCGCCGGGCCTCAAGCAAAGCCACGGTACTTCCAGAGATCCTATTCCTGGATGTGGTTGGATGGGTTGTACCGCAAACCGAGGTCCCGGCTCTAAGCAGCGCTTTGAATATCTTTGCCCAGTGACCGTTTATATCCGACATCAGACTGTCTGGCAGGAGTTCGACGGGCTGGATCTGAGCGTTTCTTTTGGTTTCTGGGTCCCCTAGCTTCTCAATGGCTAAGCGAGGTGTGCACGTTTTGAGTAGGCCTAAGAAGCGCAGTGAAAAGCAGCAAGGTACAAGTGCATGGTCGGAGTCCACGCTGGTATTACAGAAGCAGCGGTAGACGGTGATTGACCCTCGCCACCGCTAACTGACGGCGATGCGATCAATTCGGATTCGGGACTGGTTCATTGATCTGGTACCACATCGTCAATTGATCTCCGCTGTCCCATAAATCGGTGCTGCAAAGGAACAGTCTGTGGTCGGCACGCACCTGAAATAAGTGATCCCCGTTCTGCGTGCGCATCATATCTAACCCAAGACGACCAACCAATTGGGCCTCAGCAGTGCTTCGTGTACCTACCAAACCAACAACCATAACCGTATAGGATCTTTTGTAGAAGAGCACCTAGAGGGTTTTAAAAGCTGTCTTTGTCAGACACGGGACTACAATCCGTTTGGACGTAAACGGACATTATGAAAAGGGTGCAATGGACCTTTTTCTATATTCTCTCAGACGTTGCCAAATGAACGGCGCGAAGGCGACCATCAACGGGTATTCAATCAAGTAGAGGGCCAACTGCATAACTACAGAAAATAGCCTGTTGTTGGCACCAGTCTCCGAGGTGTATGAAGATTGACGGCAGACTCCGGTTGTTAAAACACTGTTCATGCTGAGTTGTTTGATGAATTTTCGATCCATGTCGTCGAGCTAGTATTTAAACTTTTCATTCACGTCCCTTAGTTCACGCACGTCAGAAATAAAGATAGACTATTTCCCGGTTTGGCTGCGCCAAAATAGGTTTCCGTCGCCTCACCATCATCGTCACCATCGAAGTCACAACATCGGTGTTCAGCATGGATACTTCGCTGCCGTATAACCATGGTTGATTTGACAGTCTCATTGCGAATAAAAGGGTAAAAGTGGATAAGAGGTGGGCTCGTTACTGGTCTGCTACCATTCTGAGGTACCCACCCTTCCATCACTCCAATTAAACATTCAGACAAACTGGATATTTACAGTTTATATGGAAACTGACAAGAACGTTCTTGTACACAACAGACACTGCTTGAAAACCATATCTAGCAGCGTCTCCAACCAGGTTCAGTGAGGGTGATGCGGTCCCCATCCTGGAAGGCAGGTAGCAACGACAACATCCAGACGTTTCATAGTCTCTTTCATCTCCATATGCCAGATTAAAGGATGGTCAATTCACTACTTCCGCCACTCTGAGTTAGATATGGAAAACAGCGAGCGATTGTTCGGCATATGCTATACATAGCCTAACCAACACAGCTTCCGGTGCTGGACACTCGCTAATGGAAGTTCCTGTTGCACAACCGAAAACTCGGTTTCTAATAGTCACGTTACGGACTCTCCGACACCAATCAACATGGGCTATGGTTCTGAGACAACGACCGTAGAACACCTGAAGACATCTCAATTACGCTGCGCGGACAGGCCAAGTCTCACAGTGTCCGGATGCCAGACGCTCGTAACAATCCAGTGGACGTACGTGACACAAGGGGACTACGCACCAAACGAGTGCACACCAGGATTGGTCAGAGTGTTAGCCAATCTAGATCGAGCATCTTTGGCATGACGCCAGTCGCCCCCTCTCAGAGATTCTAGCACGAAATTGTGGAGCATTCTGTGATTGTCCTATAAATACCATCTCCTTCTTCCTTTGTCCCCCTTAACGGCTGTTTGAAGCTGCGCTACATTTTGACATACCATAGAGGGCAGAGCTGGGAGCCACCACCGATGAGGTTTCACAGGATTGTTCAGTAGGTCACAACACACAGCCATACAACAAAACAGCACAATCTCGTCTCTTGAGATCCATGGATATACTTCTCTCGTGCCATAGGCGTCCCATATTAGCAAATACGACCCGGGCCTTACAAAATCTTACATTTACATAATCGGTCACACTACAGTTAGAACTGTGGCGTTCTGTACCTTTACTTTACTTCCATTATAACATTACGTATTTCATCAATTGCATAATCGTTTTTTGTTTGAATACGGAAAACTACAAAAACGCGCACTTGTACAATTTCACAGAATACAAGCGTGGTCACGTGCTTCGACTCTCTCTTCTGATTTCGCTCGCGCTTGCAGCGATCATTCGCGAGTCTCATGTACTAACTCTGGTACCAAAACATTTCAGACATCTTCGGAATCTATTTATGTGGGAACTGTTCAGAAGAAGGCCTCTGGACCAACATAATTGGATTATTGTTCATTCGCTGACCTGGGCCAACGACGAACTATTTTAAAGAGAACAATTGTTAGTGAGTCTGTTCCGTCTGGTCTCTTTATTTTTGTATACCCAACCTAGCGTAATCATTTTTATTTCTTTGCCACACACTCCTGGTAAACTAACTTACTGGGTAGCCAGACCACTACAGAATTCATACGAATGACGAGTAAAACGCTCCACAAATTCCGGTAACTCTTCTTGGATTGTAAGTGGCGTGTTCAGTGACTGCATGTCCATGAGCGTGATCTTACACTTTGTGGGTGCAAAGCACATATTAAAGGTTGGCTCCTCCAAAGTCACCTGTGCCCCCCCTTTTCGAATACGACAAGAATGGCAAGGTGTTCGTCAAGAGCTATTTGAACACCAGGGTTTTGATTCGGTCAAGAAATTAGATAGAAATACAGATTGTGGGCATCCCTGGCGTACACCGCTTTGTGTACGGAAACTTTTGGGGAGCTCTCCGTACACTCTCACACGCCAGGAAGTTTGAGAACACAACGAGCTTATAATGTTAAAAAGGTCGCGAGCATTCCTTGTTGGGCAAGCGCATCAAAGGAAACAGAGCGATCAACCGAGTCAATTGCGCCTTGTAAACCCAGGAATGCTAGAATTGTGAGTCGCTTATACGTATCGCGCTGTAGCACCTGAGGAAGTCAAAACATTTGGTCTATGCAACCCCATTCAGTCCGGAATTCTGTCCGCTGCTCTTGAGTCGGTGTCGAACGAGCACAAGTGACTCCAACAGTCTCGTTAGGACCGGGGTCAAGCTGAGCCTCCTGTGGTTACCACACCCACTACGCGCCCCTTTTCGAAAATGGGCACTATTACCGGCTCTCCCAAGTTCTCTGGGACAGACTTCTTTATTCAAAGTGCAGGCAGATAGATTGGATCAGCAGTTATTGAGGAATTCAACCCAACTTCGAGCAATTCTAGTGGAAGGTCATTCGGGCTAGACGCTCTGTGGGGTTTGAAAGAACATTCACGGTGGTTAAACTGCAAGCTCGTAGGAGGCTCCACGTTACCGTCCAGCGTTTAGCGCCAGCTTTGGGCTCCGGGTCAGTGGTAGCTGCTGGCACACTAAATGTGGTTCAAATTATTCGGTCCACTAGTCAAAGCGTCCTTCTTTGTTCAAGATGATCGTTCCCTTCTAATCTTTTGTGAATTTGCCCAGTGGCTTCCGGAGGCGGATCGGACGGATCAAATAAAATAATTTTCGGGCATTCCTTATTTTTTGGGCCTCTCCAATTTCATTGGTTTCTGGGCCCACCATTCTTCATAGTAGGTTCAGAGGCTCACTTTTATTTGAAGTTTAAATACTTCGTCGCGTCAAGTAGTGTACAGCGGCTTGGATTTTTCCCGGAGACCTAACCAGTGCCGCTGTTCGTTCTGATGTTCATTGCTTCAGTGCCGCTAGCGGTGCCGTGCCACAAGCAAAGCTCCAAGCGCTGTGCAAAAAGAAGGCGGTCTTATCTCACTGTGAGTTCACATCTGATGGTTGAGTAATTGGAGAAGACTCTGAAAATCGGTACTGCTAATTTCGTCTAACGTCCAGATCTGTCAATCTTTCAGTTGCCAGGCGAATATTCCCACACACCACGAGGCTCCGGAAAACAAAGGTGGAAGCAACTCCGAACGAGTGCATGTTCAGAATCCACGAATATTTTCCAAACGAACGACAGTTATTGATCCGCGCCATCGGTAACTGATGGCGGGACGACTGGTCCGAGTTCGTGGCCTGCACTCTTTTCGAGGATATCAGGTGGCTAGACTTTCGGCTATTTCGAAATTTAGTGCCGCATATAAAAAGCTTGCGATCAAGGCACAGCTGTAGAAATTCCCCACGACTATTCGTATGAACCAACTCTAGTTCACGTTGATCACTTTTTTGAGACTGAGATGCTCTAAGCCTACCTACTTTTGCTTCAGATCTCCGGCAACAACAACGAAATCTGAGCGTTTAGTTCGCCACAACAGGGCATTCAGTGCATCTGTGGTGGAGTTGGAGCTAAAGAGAGTCGGATAGTAAGCCTAAATGGCAGACATTAATCAACTTCCCGCTTGTGAGACTAACGTGCATCGCCAGGCAAACCGCAGTGAGGCGACCATCGCCAGGTTTTGAGTTGAGCAAAGCTACTTCTATCAGGAACGATACCAACCCCTGCACATCCTGCCGTAGCAGCCTCTCAATAAATATTGGTGCGCAGTCGGAAGCGGATAGAGAGTGATGGGGCGACTGCCTCAACCACTGCAACTGCATCTTAAATTCTTGTTTCTGAGGCACATCAAACATCAGTGCCCAGCAAGTCCTTTGTGAGAGCGAGGGCAGCTTATTGTTCTGCTTATACCAGAGTGCGGACATTGAACTCGGTCGTATAGAGGTTTAAACATCGATTTAGACATACATGAGGATGTCGGCGTCATGTAACGAGTGGAAGTTTGACGCAAAACCGATTCGATACAAACGGAATCATCAGTCCCAGGCACGCATCCTACGAGGGGTTAATCCTGGGGCAGTGGGGAAGAAATAATATGTGGAATAGAAAGGGGGAGGCACCGTCAATAACATGTTCTCGCTTACCCGCCTCGCTGTATGGGGCGTGTAAGGAGAACCGGCTGATGGCAGCACGCGAAGTCCCACGGGGCATGGGCTTATCGTTAGACGTAGTTATCATGGGTGCATGTGGGCAGGGACACAGCCACCTAATTAGGAGGAAGACTGAGGTCCTCAGTCAAATTCTTTAGCTCAGGAGCCTAACCGCAAGGCGGCGATCTTTGGTAGGAAATGCAGATGCTTGAATATTTCCAAAGAACGCCTCGTCATACATGTCCCAACCACTGTCCTGGAGGGCAAAAAGATTGTTCGTCAGACCTCTAAGCATTACCCAACCTGATACAGACCGCGTGTGACGCCAACGCTTCCCAGCATCTTCGGCGTACCCGTGACAATATAGTTCAAAATACTGAGAGCTAGCGTGATTCGAAAACCCTACCTGTATGAGGTTGTTTGTGTAGCAATGGTTGACGCGTATACTCGCGTTAGGAGGGCTACCTCCAAACGAGCAAATCCAATTCACTAACGATTTGTCTTGTATACTGAAACTTTCTTTCTATATTTCAGCCCCTCACTGGCATCCTATTGGACTGTTGGCTCCTTTTATATGCTGGCTCAGTTGAATTCCATACCACGGAACCATCCAGCTGTTTGGAGTATAACTTCCTCAAAGTTGTTTGTCTTCTCCATTACGGTGATCTAACGTGTCTGACTGATATATCAGCAGAGAGGATATAACACTGGCGACGGGAACCCAACGCGAACACAAACATATCAGTTTCAGCTGAGGATTTGAAAGCAATCCTTCAACAGCAACATGCTCAGTTCGAACAATCGCAATTGCTACTTATTCAGTCTCTTACCCAAGCTATCAGTCTTCAGCCATCGGTTCCTTCTCAAATTAGTAGTTCATTATCCTTTGCCGATTCTATCGCAGCAACTGCTACGGAATTCCTATAAGAACCAGCATCTGGTCTCACATTCGATTCATGGTACAGTCGCTGGGAAGATAATTTTCAGAACGAGTTTACCGACAAAGATGATGCGTAAAAATTCCGTCTCTTGGTCCGGAAACTCGGAACCCTCGGGCACGATCGGTTCAATAACTTTATTCTCCCCAAACGTCCAAAGGATCTAAACTTTGCACAAACAGTGGAACAACTCCGTGAAATTTTCGGTGATCAACATTCACTTTTTAATGTTCGATACAATTGTCTCAAATTGGCTAAGCGCGACGCCGACTATTACGTCACTTTTGTTGGTGTCGTCAACCGCGAGTGTGAAAAATTTCAATTGCAGTCACTTACAGAGGATCAATTCAGGTGTCTAATTTTCGTTGCTGGTCTTCAGTCTCCGCAGGAATCAGATATTCGCACTCGACTGCTTTCCAAGCTCGAGCATGAGGAGGATATTACAGTGAATCTACTCACTACCTAATGCCAACGTTCGCGTAACCTTAAGCATGATACCGCATTGGTACAGCAGACGTCACGACCTACCAATCCCAGTGGGCTCATGGCATTGGAACGAACCACTGTTACGCATGAGAAAAAACCGCCAACACCATGTTGGTCTTGTGGCGAGTGGCTTTATGCACTGTCCGTTCAAGAAGCACCAGTGCCAGAGTGTCATCGGTGGGGCCAGAAGGAAGGTTTCTGCTGTACCCAAAACCCACCGCACCCAAAAACCAAAAGAGCTTCGACAGTCCACTCAGCAATACAGTCAAAAACAGCCGAACAAGAAACGTCCGCAGTCCAGATCTGTGTTTGCAACATTCCAAGTTGAATTTGAGTCTCGAAGGTAATACCTTACAGTTTCCATCAGCAAAGTTCCAGTCCGTCTGCAGCTCGACAGCCTCAGATATTACGTCGATCTCACGTTCCAATTGGGAGTTGATAGAAAAACCTCTTGTGTCACTCAAGAATCTTCGGGCCCAAAGTACATCTGACAGTACACTACTACTGACCGGCGAGTTAGCCTCTAACGTATCATTCAACAATCTACAGTTCTCAGAAACTTATCTCACTGACTGTCCCCCAAAAAACTCAAGGAGGAGGGGACCACACATGAAATCATCAAAACATTTCTGCTGAGTTATAGGGCGACACCAAACGTTAACGCTCCATATGGAAAGTTCCCGGCGGAGGTACTTATGAACCGGAAGATCCGCTTACCCGTTGATGTCATCCGTCCAACACCACATTCGCCAACCGGCAGAAACATAAATATGGGAGTTCAGTTCAACCGACATCACGGTGCTTTGAATAACATATTTATACCCGGCCAATCTGTGCTAGCGGAAGACTACCGGGGTGGCGCGGAAGAGTGGACACAGGGCATAATTGTGCGCCGTGCCGGAAGAGTTGTCTGTGGGGTAAATGTAGGCTACTCTGTCTGAGTCCGTCATGCCAATCAGCTACGCGCTTCCTATCTTCCAGCGGCACCTACAGTCGACCCTGTTCTTCCACTGGAGATTCTTCTGGACACATTTGGGTTAGCTCAAAAACCAAAATCTCCAGAGCCGATGAATGAACCAACAATTTCCAAAAGTTGAGCACCTATAAGATGGACCGATCGAATACAAAGGCCCATCATACCAATGCAACTCGACCTTCAGCATCAGTCCTACGACCAAGCACTTCAAAGGGGAAGTGTTAGGAGGACTACCTCCAAACGAGCAAATCCAATTCACTAACGATTTGTCTTGTATACTGAAACTTTCTATATTTCAGCCCCTCACTGACATCCTATTGGACTGTTAGCTCTTTTTATATTCTGGTACAGTTTAATTCCATATCACGGAACGATCCACCTGTTTGGAGTATAACTTCCTCAAAGTTGTTTGTCTTCTCCATTACGGTGATCTAACGTGTCTGACTGATATAGCAACAATAGGGGTATAGCAACTCGCTGGTCAACAACCGAGAGCTGCATTCCTTGGGTTTAGATATAGGACTTTCGGCCAGGGCAGATTTATTGAGCTGTGTGCGTACACCGATCGTTTTCAGAGTGGCTGCGTATTTATCCAACATCGTGAATATTATCGCACGCAGCCATTCGATGCAGAAATAGTGATCTCTAAGATGCTTATAACACTAGTAGCAGAACTAGGGTTCGGATGATTTCACCATAAAATCACGGAACATTCTGCGGTGACGATGCAAAAATGGCGTGGGGCTATCCATTTCATCGGTTAAGCTACTAATTTTCAGTAAGATTAGTTTTAGGATGGATCACCCTCGGATTTAAAAAATTGTCCTGTGGAGTTTGTGTGCACTGTGAGCTCTTCGCATGTTCATCTCTTTTTGCCCCGAAGCTACGTCCTGTGTTAGCGAACATATTACTAGTTATTTAGCTTTTCATCTGTCAACCGCTTTGTTTTGTACTTTAAAATAATGTGGTTTATCGGTCTTCGATGTCCATGTTTCGCGTGCCGTCAAGGCCAGGTTAGGCGCATTTTCTGTCGGAGGCGTAGTAATCACGGCGGATCCACAACATAAGGAATTCCAACCTAAGTCTGCCCAATACGGTGAGCTGCCAATACTCAGTCAGGAGTTGGATAACCAGAAAATTCCCTTGATTCCACTGTTAAAACCCAACATGTGGCAGGTTTTACCTAGCCGCTCGACAACAAAACGCTGAAGTTCATGGATAATTTGCTGCTGGCTGCATGACCGCAGAAACACTTGAGTGATGTTTTGCTCCAAAGAGCTTAGGGGCTCGTCGTTGTCACGTGGATCCTGTGGTTCAGCAGCATCTTGGTCATTCACTTATGGAAGCCTAAAATTCTTGCTGATACTAGCGACCGAGGACCGAACCTTGTACTATCTTTGGCTTCTCGGTCGATACAGCCAAGTCAAGATTGCTTGACTAGGTATTAGAGTTGTAGGCACATCTGATTTCACTTCATTCCTCGTTTTTCTCCCCGTTGTGCGGATTCATTCAAATAATTAGTGTAGCTGGAATGACTTGAAGCACCAGAGTTCCCAGGTGGTGTTGCTTTCGATGAAGGCGAGGATGGGGCTCCAATATTTGGCAACGAACTTCACTATATTTAGTAACAGATTTTACGCCTTTTCAATTCACCTAGTGATTTGTCACAAGATAAGCCTATGGATTGTCGAATATCGTATCATAACCTTCGATATCATTATCTAATAAATTGCCCTAAGGGTATCGTTTGGGATCATGAGTTCTGCAATCGTTTTTCAAGGCAGCTATCAAACTGGATTGTTGGTGGACGATTTTTCAGACCTGACTGATTAACAACATACACAGCCTCAACGTGTGGATTTGCACTGGCTAAAAGAGAGCCTGCAGCATCTTCGGGGTCATTCAGGGTACGTAAGCTTAGATGTGGACCCTCACAGTCATCACTTGTTAGCCGCCATATTAGACCACCGCGACAATCAGAGGCTCCACGCCGTGCCATGCGAGTACTTTCGTTTTGTCACAACGCAAGTCTGATTGGGAATTATTTCATCCTCTCGCCTATTCACAGATCTAACGAGGGTCATTCAGTTTGCGTTTTTTTCAAAAACAAACATAATTCACTCTTAAGAAACTTCTTGGTAGGTCGCTGTATGCTCGTGTATTTACAAGCGTGAGCCAGAATATGAGAGGCAGCCCAGTGCTAAAACTATATGCAGGCCGTATTGGATGTGGACGTAACGCATGTCCACTGAAAGTAAAGGTTGGGCGCGCTTGAAGCATTCGGAGCCTGTAACATTTTCAGTATATTGGTATTCACGGATTCACGAATTGATACACAGGATAGAGGCTTTGCCCAAGGTTCCCGGGTCGCCTTCGTTCTTGTCGGTCGGTGGCTGTCGTTCGCCTGAAATACACAGGTGAAAAAATGGTGTAGCACTGCTCTTTATGTTCTTAGCGTGGGGCAGTATCCTTGCCAGTGCGAGGATTCGCATAAATAAGTGTCTAATAGTGCTTTACACTGGGTTCTAGAAGGAGCGTGGACAACGGTCGGAGGAAGGTCATTCCACGCACCTACTACCCGAAATGAGGAAACATTTTGTCTAATGAATGTGTGTGCTCTGAGCTTGAAAATTTTCTCACTATGTCCTGGCAGTGTGCTGGTTTAATGGTTAAAAAGCTGTTTGCACAGTTTTGTTCAAACGGGGCATAAGTAAGAACTAGGTCCCCTCGGAGGCGACGGTACTCCAAGGGAAAGGGAACGAACATCGCGAAACGCGTTTCGCAGTCCACGGATTTGAGGTCGGCAACCATTCTCGTAGCGGCTCGCTGGGCACGCTCACTGAGGGTGACGTCCTTCGTGCGTCCTGAGTGGACAACTTGGTTGACGTATTCCAGGGGTGGTCTGACGTAGCCCCCATAGAGTATTTGGAAGTCCATGCTAGTAATACGGGAGAAGGTGCGTCGGATCATCCGTAAAATGGCGAATGCCTTTTGGGCCGATTTCTCATGGTGCAATGAGAAGGACAAGTTTGAGGAGACCCAGATGCCCAAATCCTTTTTGGCATGTATCCTCGTGATGTTTTCTGGTCTTTTCTCAACATGCATAACATAGGCATTCGCTGAGTCTCCACCAAACGACGTATTGACGCACTTTTCGTCATTCACATGAAGGTGCCAGTCGATCACTGCTTGGCAGCATCTACATCCATTTGGAGGGCACTAAAAATTGGAACTCCAGGATTTCAAGTCGTCCGCAAAAAGTAGACATGGACTTGCAAGAACATCTGGGAGGTCGTTGACGTAGATGAGACGCAGCAGTGGTCCCAGGGCGGAGCCTTGAGGAACTCCAATGGAGACCGGCGCTGGAGAAGTGTAGGTCGAACCTATTCTCACTCAGAATGATCTGTCTGAGAAGAAAGCCTTGATCCAGGGAAGGATTTTCCCTTGTATCCCGCAGGACTCGAGTTTGTGAAGCAACGGGACGTGTGGGACCCTATCAAATGCTTTTGAGAAGTCGAAAAATGTGGCATCCGATATGAGTCCTTCGTCCTTGGCTTGGGTTAAGCTGTCCATAAACACGAGCATGTTTGTCACGCATGAGCTGTTTGGGAGAAATCCGTATTGAGCTGGAGATATCAGATTGCTGGAAGTAAGGCGATCTAGGATGGCTCGCTTCAGAATGCGTTCCATCACCTTGCACGGCACGCTAGTGAGGCTTATAGGCCTATAGATGCCAGGCGATGGTCGGTCACCAGTTTTGTATATTGGCGTGACAATCGCTCCCTTCCAAGCAGGGGGAAGGCGGCCTTCATCAAGCGACTGACGAAACACCNAACCCATGTTGAGCTGGAGATATCAGGTTGCTGGAAGTAAGGGGATCTAGGATAGCTCGCTTCAGAATGCGTTCCATCACCTTGTACGGCACGCCAGCGGGGCTTATAGGCCTATAGCTGCCAGGCGATAGTTGGTCACCAGTTTTGTAGATTGGCGTGGCAATTGCTTCCTTCGAAGCAGAGGGAAGGCGGCCTTCGTCAAGGGGTAGGTGATGACTGGGTGGACAGTTCAGCTATATTTCCCTGCTCCTCTTTCTGTGTAACCTGCCTCTACCTCAGGTGTGTTTTACCTTCTGTAAGTTACAAGAAACTTATCGGCAAAGAAACAGAGTAAAAATGAACAAATCATTAAACTCGAAACAAATGTCTGCAACTGATTCGCAAACTCATGGTCAAACTGACACTTATCCTGAAAGCTTTTAAGGATGCAGGAATGAAAACCGCTGATACTTGAAGAAGAACCAACAAAAAATTTCGCGCACACTTCATTCCGGAACTAAATAATTCCAAAATGACTAACCAGCTTCCTGTAGCTAAGATGACCACCGCGGCACCCATGGACAAGAGCATGAGGGCGTTCAGGATTGACAAATTAAGTTCGTTTTTTTAAAGAGATCACGCAAAAAACTGGAAAACCTACCCTTGGCGATGCTTCTACTAAAGAACATTATGAATCCGATCAGATAGAATGGTAAAAATGAAAGCACGTAAGCGCTCACCAGCTGCAGTACGAAGGATCCTTAAGCTCTCTTTAGGTGTCCAAAATGACTTTTCGAAAGTGAGCGTATATTCGAGAATCGCTCCACAAAGATTCCGAAGCGCTAAACAACGTTAGTCATCCCAAACATTCTACGAACCGACAGTAGTTGCAGACCTAAAGGGATCAGCGCTGGTCCAAATCACAGGGTACCCAGAGTACAGCATTCGTTTGATTGCAGCACATCCACTGATTACAAACGAGAGTGGCGCTTTTGGCAAAAAAGCCACAAGAGCACCGAGCATCCACAAAATGCGAAATCATCGTCACCTACTTGTTCGAAAAATTAAAGTGAAGAGGTATGCTCCTCATTCAAGCCCAATCCTAGCCAGTCATGCAGAAAATACCCTGATGGATCATACACATATGCTAAACTCGATGCTCGAGACCATCGAAAAAGGTCCCAAAATTACCTGTCATTCGACCATAAAAGCTGGACTCAAAAAGTTTAATACATGAGGCAGCTGCAAAACGATTAGCGAGAAGTGATACGTCTGGAAAAATACGGAACACTTTCCCCCCAGGCCAACCGAGTCTGGTCGTCAGAAGGACGGTGTTTGCGGGCGTTACTCATGATCTCCGGGCCTGAGTCCACAAACACAGCAACAGTGTACTTGAAAATCCCATGCGCACGGACCTGGCCAGGGTGATCTCTAACAGACTGGCAGGCCACACTAACACAAAACAGAGGCGACCGCGCTAGAATAAGCCCCGGTAACCTTGCTTAACCCGGTAACTCTTTGCTGAATTTGAGATGCAATCACCAAAGAAAACCGTCCTTTGAAACTAATGTTGGAATTGCACGCCCAGTGAATCAGCGCAGTGGCAAATCAGCCCGAAAATGTCTTTTAAAAACGTTGACGGCCAAATAAGGCTAGGAAGCCTTGATGAACCAAATGAATGGACGTTTATCGCAATTCTTCGAAGACTAAACCTGAAGGACAAAAGTGTGTTATTCCGCGACAGTTTGGAGCACAGGAGGGGAGACGGCCTCCTGGAAATAAGAGCTCAACGCGAGTAGAGCTGTCAGACGGCAAAAATTGTTCCACGTATGGAAGCGTGACGCTGAAATAGCTCGGGGAGCAGGCGGGCAAGGGCACTAAAGGCCACTCCTAAGTCTTGAAGGGCAGCTTAAGTCGGTTGGTGGTTAGATGTGACCCCCCCCTGTGCCCGATTGCCCTCCCCGGTACAACACTTGCACATTAAGTGGCTCACTGCGGACTCGCCTTCATCGGTATAGACTCTACATCTCGCTGACATTTTGCTCATCTCTCGAGTACTTTTTGGGATTGCTTCTTGCTTCTACATACACTTTCTGATCCAAAGCTGCTACCCTGAAGTAATGGTTGGGCTTGAGTGCAGGTGCACGGGCTGGAAATTTGCTACGCAAGATGCGAACACGAATGAAAGACCGACGGTCAGCGGTCATACTAGGAGCACCGAGACCCCGTACTACGAATAATTGCATTACTAGGTTTTCTGGACTTGAAGTCGTATTGTCCTCTGTGACAGGTTTTTCAAGACAGTAAGGCGGTTCTCCCAGCATGTCATTGCTTATGGAACCCGTGTTGCTGTCACACTGCCGCGTCAAGAGCGAGACAATAATATATTACTTTCTGCACCCCCTATTTAGCCATTCTCCTACAACCTAGCCTGTAACACCTTTAAGTCATCGGCTTCGGGCAGCGTAACCCAAGAAACTCTACGGCTCGCTGCCTTGCGGGTAAGACTCTTGGGACAGAGGCTGCCAGCAGGGTCCTCGAACAAAACTCTGTATCCGCATACTCTTTGCATGTATTAGTGTTTTCTTTTGTTAGCAAAAAAATCATTTGATAATTCAGAAGGCCAGACACTAATAAAGCCTGTGTTTCGAGAGCGTGAGGTTACAACAACTAGGCGCACCTTAATGAAGTCAGATACAACACCAAAAATAAAACGGTTCAAACGGAGGACTTATAGTTCTTAGTCTAAGCTGTAATAGTTCCTCGGAGTTCCTCTGGGTGTTTCGTGTTTCTTCTGCCAGATTCACTGCCACACGTTCCTGGTTGTTAGCAGTTTTTGGTGTGTTGAGCTGGTCAGTGTTCCGACGCGCGCGTGAAGCTTGTGTGTTTGCGGTTGACCGTGTTCTGTCCTTATATGTATGTCGTTGTAATGCGTGGAACGTGAAAACAATAATATGAAATCACCTAGTATCCTTCAAAATGTCATGGAACGGGAGTTGACATGTTGCCGTATTTATGTCAAAATGCTCACGCGTGATTGTGAGACAGACAAAACCTAATGGGGTAGTAGGCGCCGGTGCAAAATCGATTAGAGGAATAATTCGGCATAAAGGCAACCATTACACACACTCACCCCTTTAGGCGCTGTCATCAGTCATGGTTGCAGAAAAGTCACGTCTTGTCTCGTGATGCACGTTGTGGGATGTGCAACAAAGCAAAGAGCGAGGGAGACAGTGGATGCGGATGCACTAATGAAATTGGACAACCGCTACGTGTCAGGCCTTTAAGCCGAATACTCCAGGAGGAGTACCACAAGGCGGCCTTGTTGTCCGACCTGCGCAAAGGTGGAGTATCATTCACCTCGCACAGCTCAACTTAAATAAACCCTTGAGAAACTCTTTTTGAACTCTTAATAAACACACCTTATGAGACGGGCAACTTTACTGCTCCGATTGCCTTCTTGACAGTGTTCTAGTACGTCAAGCCAGAAAAACATTCCGCACCAGCACCGACTCAAGTCCTTCAACCGAGTGCTTGGATATCATGCGTCGATGTATCAGTAAGATGCCAGCTGGCCAGTCACAATGTTAACAGGATCCAGTGATCATGAATGGGAGGAATCTCAGCAGTCAATGAACTAGTCATCACAGCACGCTGACTTCTGCTTTATATGCTACCGGGTCTTTGTCGTGGGTTTGAAACTTTGGTTGTGCAGAAATCTCAGGAATGCACATAATCCTTGGCCAGCTTAAGCCGGAACCAGCCTCAGTGAAGCAGATGTACAAGGACAGTCCCCACAAATTCACGAAATGGATCCGGTGTTCATTCTGAAGAAACCGCTGTAAAATAAAGAGAACCAAGGGCTGTTTGAAGGATCTAAATGTCTTCTGGAAATTAAAGTTTGTCTAATCTTCAACAAGATAATCGCACAGAGGGGGGCAAGCTGATGCTTCGCAAAATGTGGGGCCACCATACATCAGGAATGTGCCGACCAGGGGCCAGCGTTTTAGTCCAGCGTCATCACGCAATCGGTATTGTCAAGGTAGAGCCCCGAACAACTCAAACAAATCGGTTTTAACGCGCGTGCAGCGCAGTAGGACCAGATGTGATCCATTCAGGCGTCTTGAAGGAGATGTCGCACAGTCTGACTGAATATTTACACCTGATCATTAGCCAGTCGCTCAACGAAGGCAAACATCATTCTCTTTGGGTGAAAGATAGCCAAGCGAACCTACAAACTTGATGGCTGTTTGTCATCCAACATCTAAAGGCCCGTTAGCCACACCGGCATAGCATGCGGAAGTGAAAGAACGCGTTACGAAGTGAGCTATTCTGAACAGCCCAACTGTCAGTTTCTTGATATCCCCGACAAAAACTGATGCCTAAGAAACCTCCGTTGTGCCACAATTGTGCTCGTATTTATGGAGAGCCCAAGGGCCGCCATAGGGGAAGAACTCATATTAGGCATCGCATTTTTCGATTTCTCAAAAGGATTTTGTCGAGATTCACGTATTCCATTGCCTCGAAATCTCGGACCTTAAGGGACTAGAGGGGAAATTCTACTTTTTTTGAGCTGAATGTTCTGGGTGAAAGCCGGATGAGCCTGCTGTTATTCTCGATGGGGAGGCCTGGTGCATACATACGATTTGTTTGAACAAGTCAGGTGTCCGGAACTTAAAACGAGCACGACCGTTGGACATGTACTGATGATGAACTCCATTAAGAGCAAAAACCTAGTAGCCTTTGTTGTGCTTGATAATGATGGACCAGAAGACTTCATGAGGACGGGTGCCAAAAAGATTTTTTAAACGGATTCACGGATTGATACACAGGATAGAGGCTTTGCCCAAGGTTCCCGGGTCGCCTTCGTTCTTGTCGGTCGGTGGCTGTCGTTCGCCTGAAATACACAGGTGAAAAAATGGTGTAGCACTGCTCTTTATGTTCTTAGCGTGGGGCAGTATCCTTGCCAGTGCGAGGATTCGCATAAATAAGTGTCTAATAGTGCTTTACACTGGGTTCTAGAAGGAGCGTGGACAACGGTCGGAGGAAGGTCATTCCACGCACCTACTACCCGAAATGAGGAAACATTTTGTCTAATGAATGTGTGTGCTCTGAGCTTGAAAATTTTCTCACTATGTCCTGGCAGTGTGCTGGTTTAATGGTTAAAAAGCTGTTTGCACAGTTTTGTTCAAACGGGGCATAAGTAAGAACTAGGTCCCCTCGGAGGCGACGGTACTCCAAGGGAAAGGGAACGAACATCGCGAAACGCGTTTCGCAGTCCACGGATTTGAGGTCGGCAACCATTCTCGTAGCGGCTCGCTGGGCACGCTCACTGAGGGTGACGTCCTTCGTGCGTCCTGAGTGGACAACTTGGTTGACGTATTCCAGGGGTGGTCTGACGTAGCCCCCATAGAGTATTTGGAAGTCCATGCTAGTAATACGGGAGAAGGTGCGTCGGATCATCCGTAAAATGGCGAATGCCTTTTGGGCCGATTTCTCATGGTGTGATGTTTTCTGGTCCCTTTCATGCATGCATAACAAAGGCATTCGCTGAACAGACATACCCCTCTCCCCTCACCATGACAGATAGACTCCAAAGACATTCACTGTTCTAAGGATGATTCGGTTCACCTTGTCTCATATTACTCTCATGGACTTCCAGATGCTCTATGGGGCCTAAGTGGGGCCGCTTCTTGAGCATGCCAACCATGTTGTCTATCAAGATGCCCTCATTGATCGTGTCCGACGAGCTGACAGAAAAATGGACACCGGCTTTAAAGCCTTGGGCTTTGGAACGCGTCGCGCGGCGCATTACCTCTTCCCCCTTGAAGTGTCGTCGACTCCGAGGAGATCTGAAACCTTTTTTTCCCTCCGTTTGAACAAGGTTCGGTCAACCGTTTTTCACTGGACCCAGCTAGCAAATGGCGGGGACATGGTGATAGAATTTGTGAGCTCAGGGCTCACACTTTTGCCAGGCGAATTTCTTCTCTTTTCAGGTAGTTGCTGCGTGCGATAACCTTCCCCCGACGGTTGTCCACTCTTCATCTAGTGCCCAGTTCACAGCATTGTTTGACGCTTTAATATGCAAATCCTCAAGCTGGCAAGCATATTGCCCCAAGCTTCGAAATTACACGGCAGTGCTACACACTTTTCACTTGTGCCTCTCAGAAGCCGCTAAACGAAAGGAAAAAGTCGCCCCGGGCAACTTGGACGAAAGCCTCGATCCTGTTTATCGATCAGTTAGTCCGTGAACTGACTAACAAGCTAGTGAATTCACCTTGAACTTGCGTCTCGGTTACCGCGGATTTTCAAATGATTTGAGAAAATATCGATTTTAGGAAGAAAGCGGCAGTGGACTTTCACGAGGATGCACTGACGGCGCACGTAGAACAATGTGAAAATCTGTGTTAGTTCAATCTCACTGCACACATAGAACCCATTTTTACTAGCTGGATTAGACAAAAGGGAGTCCGGAAGGGAAGAAAAATCATGCGTGTACTGAACCAGAAACGAGGAGCACAAGTCAAGCAAATGACGCACGCATTGTTGGGTCACTCATAAAGTTCCATGGATAGGTAAGCCTGCTATCTGGGGCAGCTGGCCTGCACGTGCCACTCACCGACTGCTCTGTCGGTTTACGCAATCAGGATGGTTCCAACAAACTGGCAGTCATACAAAAACTTTGAAGTCCCCAGCAGTCTTTAAGCTAGCATGTCCATAGAGAATGTGATCAGGCATATGCGGGCCCAAAAAAAGTCTGGTTCATGTGGTGGTACATTGATTCTCTTTTTTGTAAAAAGTGGCACTTCATGGCGACTCGTTATTCTTAATGAGAAAAATCTGAGGTCGTCTGTCGACAATGAGCTTCTTGAAGTCTTTGCGAAGTACTTGCCCTTGCACTAGCTAAATTTGTCTAGTTGCGGAGTCCACTAGAAAACGAATATTACTTGAACCGGCACCATCTAGTTTGGCTTTCATGACTGAAGGATGCGTGGTGTTATGTGCTATCTGGTGGGGGGCTTATCACTCTGCTGATAAGCTGATTGTAGCCGAACAGCTGCGTATCAGTCACTGGCCGGAAGCTTGCAGGTTCGAAGCTCCGAAGTTTGTGAGATGCGTATTTCTGATGGTGTTCAGCGGGAGTAAAAAATTGCACAGTGCTACTTGCCTTCCCAGCAATGATTAGATTCTATTGCAAGTATAAATATTTAGAAATAACCTTTTGTAGGTTGAAACTTGGAGACATGTTCTCCGCATTCAATTTTAATTTACTTCAAATGAACCCAGAGGCCAACCGCAAACGCAAAATAAAGTTATTAGTTACCGGATGTTATAATCATGGTTCAAGTACACCAAGAATATGACGCCTATCATACCAGACTGTATGCCGGTGGTCAAGGTAGAGCTAGAGATCCAGTGATTTTCAGTTTAAACTCACACCGAGATGCACAGTTAATTTCATATGCACTTTGATAGCTAGATAATATTTTATTTGTTGTGATTAATTTTGGTGAGATGAAAACCCCACAACAAAATTATGTCACATTCTAGCGGTGTTAATGATTCACCCGACTTTCTCTGAAGCGTATAAGTGAGACTCACTTATCTTCTATGTGTGACGTCTTCAAAATTCAGCAGTCATGATCAAATGCCAATAGCAATGAGGGGAAAATAATAGTTTCAGCCGTGCCACATCCCGAAACCACAAACAACAACGAGCATAACCTGGTACCAATTATCAGCATTCTGAAAAAATTTACATAATTTTATCCATCGGTTTTGCTATTCTTAGGTTTCACTACTTAAGCCTTGTTTTCCAACTCTTATCAAACTTTAGAATCTAATTGAACATCAAGTTGTATGAAAGTGGCAAAATAAGCTAATCTTCAAATTACTTCGATTATGACGATCAGCGTAAGCAAGAAAATTAGCTGAGATTATCCTTATTTATGAATATATCAGACAAAAATATATTAGACAAATAGCATGACAAAAAGGAAGAGGGGCAGCAAAGATAACCATTAGAACAAGTTTTTTATCCAAAATGTGGCTAACGGGCCTTGGTCCCAGTCTCCTCCGTTAAGACTGTGGCCATGGAAGAACTATGGCTACCATAAAGATTGAGAAAGCGGCGCCTTGGTGCGAGGCGCGAGAAAATGGCACCCGGTTTGGGTGAATGTCAGCAAACAACAGAATAGGCGCTTTGATCACCAGCCAAAAATTGCTAAACACTGCAATGACCTTTATCCCCTATTTCAATAATTGTATTCCTTGGTCTTTACCGTTGAACTAATAAGTAACCCTGCACCCTGCGAAAAATTGCTGGAGTTAATTCAAGTGTTTCATTTTTTCACTGTGACACTGGTTATCATGGAGGCTTACACTGGGCTGTGCTTCACTAACTCTGGCGCTATTATTCTTATATTTTAATCAAACAACGGATACAATGTTGATCTTAAAACCGTCACAACATACTATAGTAAGTCCCTTTTTGGAGGTCCACTACTTGGGCCACTTATAGCGTTTTTTACACATGTTAACAAAGCGCAAGGTGACGTGGGTGGAGGAAAACTTTTTAATAAATTTTCCATAAGAAAGAATTGGGTGTTTTGGCCGCGGGCTAAGGGTGGCACAATAGTGGCTGTCAATGCCTGTTTTTCTGTTCGGTCCTATAACCCTACCAAACAAATTGGTTGCTTTAAACTAAAAACTAAAAAAATCACTGGTTCTTCAAATGTTCATTGCTGCATGACTGAATTCTACTTGGCAATTGAATGGCATTTTGATGTCACGCATTACTAACAGGGTTTAATTTCTCACAATTGCACCCGCCCACAAAACTCAAGAGAAAGTTTTCCATAAGAAAAAAGCCAAGTGGTCGCAATAGAAAGCCTTTTAACATGTCTGGTCAAGAGCACGCTTTTGGTGATATGCGGATGGTAGTGAGTATGAGTCTGAGGCTCAGGGCAAGAGTATTTTTCAAATCTAAACTCATATTTGGTTGTAAGTTAATGAAACTTCCTAATAAGCGAGTGCTTGACAGGTTCTTCTACCTTTTTCCTTTATTTTGTTGCTGATTAGTGAAAAAAACTTGTCGGGCCTATGGTAGGATGAGAGGTAGATCAAAAAGCGTTATGATCTCGTGTAACTGTTTTGTTTCACGCGGATTTGAACATTTTGATCTTGGGACGTCTGCATTTGTGTCCACCTATTTCTTTCCACAGTCTGGTCACAAAGCATTCTGGACAAAATGAATCATGTCATTAAACAAAACTGAATGCCAGGGTCATGTGTGTCTTTATTTGTTACGATATTTTGCGCGGTGTGGCAACTTAAGTTGGTGCTTGAAATTTTGAACTTTTCCTTGAAATTTTGATTAATCTTCCTCTACTTTTAGGTCTTTCTGACTTTCGAACTGTTTGCAACTTCTGGGATCATTTATTTCTTGCCTGCTTCTGTCTTTTTTCCATGAAGCTACCTATATCTTTGCGATACACGGCCGTTCGGGCCGTATTGAGTGCAGTGCACAATATCAACAAATATCGTAAAGACGAATAATAAAGTCACTAACTGACCGAGTTTGCGAACACAGCAATTAAGGACTAGTAAATCTTTCGCTGCATCTCAATACTTTATAAACCGTCGGACAGTCTATGACCGGTTTCATCCTTCCCAAAAATATAATATCATGTGGGTGTCAACGCGATGTGCTGCGTGGTGGCGGTTGTGGTGTAGCTTTAACAATTATATGTTATTTTGATCGTTCTTTTGCCATAAATGGGTGCATATAAATTGCTACAGCATAGTGAAGGTCACTTGGCGTAATTTTTGTTGCCGAATTTACCCTACAGAACTCTGTTGAGTTTTGTTGATGCAGCCCGGGAAATCACCTAAGACGACTGTTTAACTCCTGGCACAACGCAAGTGTGTGCTTTGAAATATCTAGATCAGTGTCTCCTCTCAATGAATGCTACTAAATCAAACATGTGACTTGGTTGGGGGTTGATTCTTTGGTTGTTGTTTCTGATCAACAAGAAAATTTATGTTGTGTTTTTGTTTTTTCTGGAACTCCTGGTTAACACAGAATCAACACTTTTCGTTGATCATTTTTGAAGTCATGTTCATTTAGAAGTGGACATGGAAAATTTGTTGGATTTGAACGTTGATGTCTCTGAAGCATTTATCGGGGCTGGTTTGGACAGCAGATTAGCATCGCCAGATGGTCCAAGGAAGAAGGAGCCCTTTGTGACAGATGAATTCATTGCCATTCGTAGTTAACGCTGATTAGAACATGTACTTCCCCCGCTAGAGCATCGGTTGCCTTGCATAACTCTCTTCTCTCAGCCCTCTGCTGAGTAGAGGCAAAAAAATGAACAGTGAACAACCTGGTAAAGGAAGTTTACTACAATAAACAGTGAACTTAATAAGGTGAACAGTTGCCACCTCTCTGAATGGTGACGCAGGGGCTAAATTCACCAATGGTTAGTGACACCGGCAGAAACGACCCAATCATGTAGTCGGAGGAGACCTTGCATCAGACCTACTGCCTTTAACACGTATGCAACCAGTTTTCAAACTAACGGAACATGCCACCGCCTCCACTTTGTTAGTCTATACAATACTCTCCTACTTTCCGATGGTCGAAGCTGTAGCAGCTAGAACCAGAGTACATGGTACACGGTCTATATCTGGTCAATTGATTGAATGATTGAGCTTGAGTATATCTTCTCTCGCGGATACAGGAGAACAAGAAGCTCGTCTGAGGAAACCCATTTTCTCATGAAAATGTTACTTAAAGAGTTACACCCTTAAAAACGATTCTATCAACTATCAGCGACCGATTTTGTTTGTTGTAACGTTCGGTAATAAAATGTGGCATAATGCTACTTGCTGCATATGCCAGTCGACCGACTTCCTCGAAAGGCAATTTTCGCACAACCACGTGAAGGATGGAAAAGAGCCAGAGGCGGTCAAGCAATGACTTGGCAGCGAAGTATAAAAGCCATTACCAGCAAACCCAGCTGCGCTGGTCATTGCCATCTTCGTGGACAGACCACATCAATGGTTAGGGCTATTGTCAGACATCGCCCAGTCGAGCCCTCAATGGCGCTTATTCATCCAAGCTATTGCCTACAGTACATAGCTCCATTCCCAATTCACCCTCTTAACAGTTCACCCACAGTGCTGTATCTGCGCACTAATTCATCAGCTCCCGCCTCCAATGCGCGTCTACCTACCCCACTTTCCCGAATCATCAGTGAACGAAACTGTGACATCTACTACCACTGTACGATAAGTATGCGGTTATTACGGCTGACAGCGATGATCATACTTATTGATTTAACCTGGGTTATGCACCATACTATGAACACTCAGTTCTCCAAATGCTACAGCTGTGGTCTAACAGACGTTCCATCTAGTAGAGCGCGTTTTTGTCCGTTTTAGTTTTGTATTTTATAAATTCGGTAACAGTGCTCAGCACAGATGTTGTTGCTGTTATTGTTGATTTTTACATTACTAACAATATTAATAGTAATGACGATGATGATAGCCACAATGATGATGTCCATAAAGATGACAATGTTGAAACTAGTGTTGCTGCTGATGCCGCTCTTTTCTTCTGATCTGTGGTATTTCCCGTTCTTCTTTCAGCGATGATTTTACACCACCTCGGTTGAAAGACTGTGCCGTTTATGGAGAAGCTGGAACGTGTAGAAACAAAATGAGCATTCATGTGATTGAGAGGAAAAAATTGGAACTGCAGTGAGTTATCACGTTCCTCAAAACAATGTCACAGACGCCGACAACTTCTCCATGAATGTGTCAGTACTTTGCGCAAAGCATCATTGAATGATCTTGAATTAAAAGGGCTGCTCCAATTGAACAGTGAGTTCAACACGGAGGCTTGCAAGGATGGTATGTTTGTTATGTTTTTTAAAAGGCATCAAAACAGGTCGATTGTACCATCAAAAACTTTGCCAGTTGAAAGAGTTGGTAGAAAAATTTAAGTCACTTGTTGCGGATATCATAAACCGACGTTCGACAGGTTAGAAATTAATGGTGATTTGACACATTCACCAATTTCAGATTCTTCCAGAGTCCAAGATATCTTGAGGCAGATTGAGGATGTGATCAGAGGGTTCAGGAAGGATGCAACCGATATGTAAGTTGTAGTACGACATACAGTGATCCTCGTCATGAACAAACTTCTAATATGCCAGACCCCTTCTACTATAGGACGCTCAGCAGGCTATTTACCTCCAGAAATAGAAGCATTTAGAATTATCAAAGGCATTCATATACTAGGCTGAAGATGCCTGCTTTTCCTCCATAAATGTGAAATCTAATTTTCGAATATTGTGGGGAACAAGGCGGGAACTTGGTAGATAGCGTTTGCGAATGTTAAACGCCGTGCAGATTGGTGAGTGTAGGAATCTCGCAATGCAAGGAGTAGTGAACAAAAGCAGGCAAAGTATTGTGTTCGGTAGCCAGGAGTCCAAATGAAGTCCAAATGAAGAAGTTAATAACGGTGATACTACTGATGAGAAATGCATGAGAATAGTTTGTTTTCTCCTTGTAAATCTCTAAAAGGGAGATCTATTGCGACATTTGGAGAGTCGCTTTGTAGTATTTGCTTGGGTTTGAACAACAGTCAATGAGTATCCAGGAAAGTTCAGGAAGACGCGTTCAAGGAGAAGGTGGATATTCAGCTTTTGCAAACAATATACACATGAGAGTATTGCTTCCCTGTCCACTAGTCTGTCACTGGTCAGTTGGCATTTTCTAATGAATAACTCCGAAGCGAAGGGCTTCTTCCTTTCTCGGGTTGACAGCCTTTGCGAATGTTAAACGCCGTACGGGTTGGTAAAAATAGAAATCTCGCAGAAACAAGAAGTAAACCAAAGCAGGCAAAATATTGTGTTAGGTAGCCAGGAGTCCAAGTGAAGTAGACATTTGAAGAAAGAGGCGATTGCAGTCAGATCAGATTGTATTGATGAACTCTGAGTGTGAATGCGTTTTCAGAAGAATGGACACCAGTACTGGCTGCAGTTCAGCCATTTGCTTGCAATCAAAGACGCGCTGTCGGAGGCATCTTCCACAACTCCCACAGTCACGGGGTGCGCGCAAGTAGCTGAGTCAAATCAAAAATTGCCGAGTTAACTTCAAAGCATGTAGACTTGTGATAGGGATAAAAACGGGCCAGGTTTAATTCAAAGTTGGCAACGATTAACTTTTTACAAGATATTGGGAGAAGCGGAACATCAGAGAGTTTTGACGCCTCGTAGCTCTAGTCTTTAGTTAACAGCGCGCTGTCCGTGACACTACAGGATTAAAAATACTTTGGTCATTTAACACAATTCTCGAGGCGGAACATTATCTGGGATTAAGTTTTATCTAGAGTCGATAATGACTGAAGTATGAGACGGTAGTCCCCCTAAAAGCGAGAAGATACATAAATATATATATATGTGGCACCAAGACTTTCGATAGAGTTTTATCTAGAGTCGATAATGACTGAAGTATGAGACGGTAGTCCCCCTAAAAGCGAGAAGATACATAAATATATATATATGTGGCACCAAGAACTTTCGATAGCCTTAATTCTATTCTGATGCGTGAATAGTTCACAGAGCCATAATTGTAACCCTTACCTATCGACATCATTTATCTTTTCTTCAACCAGGTTTATGCGAATGAAGGCTGGTTGAAATTTCATGTGGAGTTGCTATCTCACTATACTGTACTTTGCATTACTAACGGTCTGTTGACGCCTGGTCGCGCTAGACATTGCATACGTTCAAACCACATACCTTGCTCTTGGTTCTGATAATGCTGAATGCGACCGGTTACCGTGTTGCTAAATCGAAATAGATTGCTTTTCCTTTCAAAATATTTGGGTTACGCAATCATGCATTCGGTTATTTGAAACGGTGCTTTCAGATGTTTCCAGACAAATCACCTATTGAGAAATTCTTCTATCTGGTCAGAAGAACTTGACATCTCCTTATATGGTACATCTGTAAATCATCAGCAAATAGGCGATACTCTACCAAACAGTAATGGATGTGGAAAGTCGGTTTGTACGATATCTCACCTGCGGATTCTGTGCACGAAAATAAAACAGCCAATCATAGAAGGCACAACGTATGATATTCCCCCTACTCAGTTTTCGTATCCGTCGGGAAACTATCACATGTCTCCGATTCAAATAAATTTGAGAAGAGTCATAAGATGGCCGTCGAAATTTAGCTCACTAGATCAAAATTCTCCTCCATAAGTCTGACACTTCATTTCATCGATTTTTCAATGGATGTTTCTTTCTGTAACTAGGGATAGTCAATGCCGAAACGCCGAAATTACTGTATAGTTGTTCTATCCTTATTGAGGATCATCAGCAGTGCGCTTCTTAGAAAACTCAATGGAGTTGCAAACCCGCGACTTCCATATTGGTGTAACGGTGATACTACTGATGGGGAGGCATGCGAATAGTGTGTTTTCTTCTTGTAAATTCGCTTTTCATCTCCTGAAAAGGGGGATCTGTTGCGGAATTTTTCGTGTCGCTTTGTAGCATTTGCTTGGATTTGTGTAATGAATGATTGGAGTCAATGAATATCCAGGAATGTTCAAAGAGACGCGTTCAAGAGAAGATGGATGTCCAGTTTTTGTAAATAAGATGCAGATGAGAGTTTTGCTTCCCTGTCCAATAGTCTGTAAGTGGTCAGTTGGCATTTTCTAATAAATAACTCCGCAGCGGAGGCCTTCTTCCTCTCGCTGGTAATTATGAATACTGAACCGTTCGGCCACGGTCGGATGTTCAGCAGTGTGATTAACGCTCACTTAGCTTAGAGAGTCACTCATCTTTCAATCGCGGAATCTACATCACGTGGTCACATGCTTTGGCTGGCTACTCGTGTGACGACTACTCAGACGGAAGTTTCACCCACTTGGGATACAGGTTTCTGGGTTCCACAAACAATTGCGATCGATAACAATGGTGCTGACTTGAAAGACCTGTTTGATGTCCATTAAGTGAGCGGTTTCACCCGAATATTGCACTCAAACAAGCCTTCTTTCAGCCGATATGCAAAGAATCCAGATTGCTTTCATGTATAATGTCGGGCAAAGGCCTTTTTGTGTAATTAACATGGGATGGTCGGTAATACTGACCCAAAGATTACATACAAAAGGCGATAAAGTTTGGCAATACGTACTTCCACTACATAGAGGTTTTGTTGCCTTATCTAATCTTCAGTGATAGAACGGGTCCGCTAATTCATTTTTCTAAGTGATGTGCACTTTACCGGATCAGTTACACTAGTGTAAACAAAGATTTCTTAATTTTCTGAAATCAAAACAGTGCAGAAGCTCTACAACATGAGGAAACTGACCTATGGCAAGCTTGTCTGCTGAGCGAGAAACGAATTGCATCTTGGAACGAGGAGGACAGTGCCAAGGCTCTTGAAAACAACACTGCACGCACAATACATCGCTCAAGAAGTGTCCCTTGGCTTGATGTTACCAAAGATTTGACTCCTGAAGTTGTGGAGTATGAGGTGAGCTACGCCACGTTGGGGTTTATTTTGGATTGAACTCCAAGAATGTGGTTGCAAGTAATGAATTGTAATAACAATAATTTTTGGTTCTCTTTTCCATATTTCAATCCAAGCACTTTCTGGAATCAACTGGAGGGCGTTTCGGAGGCTGGACAGATAAGGAACATGCAATATTCCTGAAATTTTTCAACAGACCTGCCACAACTTCTGTCAGCAAAAGTGGTGATTCCGTCAAGGAAGAGGACAAACAATCCGGGTGTGCGGTTGATTCTGGTAGTGCTGAGAAACGGCGTCAGTTTGGTGATGCTACAATCAGTTCGCAGATTGATAATACAGGTGAAGACAAACAGTTGTCACGTGTGTTGATACTGCACCGAAAAGTTTCTCTTCTCATAGGAACCAAAAGTCCGGAGGAGGTTCTAGCGCACGAGGCTTGGTGGAAACGCTTAAGAGAACTTGAAAAATCAAAGCGTCAAGCGATTCAAAAGTGGAGAACGGTAAGTATACTTGTGACTCCCAAAGATTCTTGCGAGTGTTTGTTCGCACGTAGGAGTTGTAGTTGAAACCTCCATGGTAACAAATAAAATTCAACTTACCTGTTGTACTGCTCTCACACAAAAGAAGAGGAGTTTCCAGTCCCTAGAAGTAGCTTTCCTTCAGATAATCGCAAACTAAATCGTGGCTGATGAAGAACGTTTTTATCGAACCTTTTAGAGAAGTCCTTTTCTTCACATGGTCTTTTTCAGCTGAGATCAGCGTGAACTTGAGGGTGATTTAAAGAGTTCGGTTCTTCTATAGAGGATATTTCGAAATCTTTAGCAAACGAGTGATTTTCTTGTCTCTGTACAACAAAATTGATTCATCTGAGGGTTTGACATAACCTCTTCTCAAGAGCGACGTCTCAAAAGATAGATATCATGGGTGCCAGGATATACTCCTAGAGAGGTCAAACTCTACTTATTTCAGTGATAAATACGTCTCGTTACAGTTACTGCATATGCGACCCCTAATCCGAGTTCACTACATTCTGAGAGTGTTTGAGCGGAGCCGGATCTCTAGTAATAACTTGGAAAAAGACTATGTACACTCAGTTGTTGAAAAGACCTCGCCGTGCTCACCTGCCTTCTCAAGTTCAGACATCTGAACCCGTCATTTTCCCAGGATGAGTTTGGCCACAAAAATTCCACAGCCGATCCTAAATTCCAGTCATAAGCAACAAGCTTAACACAGCGGAATAGAAAAAGAGCTGCAGGTTATTCTTCAAGCCAGTGTATTTCATTGGCTGTAAACCCCGACGGTGCAACAGACAGACTACTTCAAGAAACTTGAATTTTACCTTGCGTAACTCGTATTCTGCAGTTGGCAAGGTACGGGCCGCTAACAAGTGTCTGGGTCATAGTTACACACTACCGAAGTCTTCTTGACCAGAAGCTCTGAGCTTCATTCAAATGCCTCGTCAATCCACTTGTAAAGGCATGGTTCGGTTGGCACGCGAATTGGTACAGGATGACTGTACAAGAAGCTTTCCCTCTCATTCCTTGGCTAATTAGGATCTCTGACACAGATGAAAGTGGGTTGTGCAGCTCGCGATCCTTTCAAGTAGCGAAGGTAAATAGTAGAGAATATTTCGGAGTTTTGGCAGGTTTGCTGGTGCTGATTATTTTTCATCTGCTTTCGAGCCAATTGGCCAACTGATTTTCAAATGTTTTACATCAGAAATGTATTCGATACCGCGAGGGTAACGGTGCTTTCTTATTAGGTTCGAACAGTCAGGTTATGGGACAAAGATCAGAAATTTACTCAGATAACCTTGAGTCACAAGATAGGATAACGGCCATTCAACTGAATTCTACTCAGTGTCTGAAATTCGGTCATCCGAAGCGGACAAATCCCCTGCTAAACTTCCCAGAGTCAGCCATAATATGATTGCAACTAGTGTGTTCTTTGTTTTGTTCTCCTTGCACAGTACATATAATGCTACATAGATCATGGCGCTCGAAACTAGTCGGCATCGATGGATACACTTTTCTTCCACTTTTTTCAGCAATCAAACTTGGAGAGGAGAGGCTGGTTATTTTCTCCAGCAACCCACTCGTGTAACATGGTCAAACTTCCTGTCCTTCATGGGGTGCCTTTCTTTGAGAATAAAAAACTACATTCAACCCTGAGGGCGACTTTTCAGTTGCTGAACTGTAACGCTTGATTATTAGGCCTTCGCTGCTAAGTTATTTAATAGAAAATGTCAACTGACCGGTTACAGAGTATTGGACAGGGGAGCAATGCTCTCATATGTATCTTGTTTACAAAACTGAACATTCAACTTACCTTGAAAGCATCTTCCTGAACTTTCCTGGATAAACACTGACCGTTGCTCATATCCAAGCAAATACTACAAAGAGAATCCGCAAATTCCGCAATAGATCTCTCCTATCAAGAGACGCGAAGCGAATTTACAAGAAGAAAACATACTACTCGCATGCCTCCTCCATCAGTAGTATCACCGTTACTGTCGTAGTTACTGAAGGCAGTTACAAAAGGCTTCGTTTTACACATGCTGCTTTTATGTTCTATTTTAGTGAGGTCTTCAAGTAGAGCCTGAACTTTGGGTTCTATCGTGACAACTAGCGAAAAATCGACGATCCGACGGAAACTGAATGCTCTAAATCTCAGCAAGTTGAGGGCGAAATCTTTGTACCTAACCTATTGACTGCTTTATTTCGAGACACCTGTTTCCAGTTTCAAACCACACCACCTCGCAAACAACGGCTCACTTTGGGTTCAAATTCGGGGTTTAACTTCCGTCGCCTTCTAGGTCTTCTTGAAATCCAGCTGAGCATTGTTTTCCGACTGCAAGTTCAAAAATGAGACTTACTTTCATGCCCGACGTCTGTATGTGTTACCAGTATACATTCTATTTTGTCGGAAGGAAAAATTCGCTTCAGTAGCTTTAAATGCTCACAGCAAATCAATTTTCCTTCTTGGTTTCGCAGTCGAAACAAACGGCAACAGCCAGCGATAACAAGGACTCGTCGGCGCAGTCAAACACGGTAACCCCAATGACGAAAGCCGAAATGGAAGCAAAGAGGACTGCTGTTGAACAGTGGCGTCAACAGCAGGAAAAGCAGAGAAAGCAGAAGAAAGAGGCAGAAATTGCGGAAGAAATAAATAATGCGGAGAAACAAAAGCAACTGGTCCAACAGCATCGGGTGAGTATAGGTAGAACTCTGGTAATTCCTGTCGAAAATACTACTGCTTTAAACAGAAGTGGTCCGTAGTAGCAAGGTATGTGTTCGGCGTGAAGTAGAAACTCACGCTTCACTCGTGTAATCAGTATGGGTCATAATCACTAAGGATCCGGTCCGTCAAGTTTAAAAAAATGCAGCTGGTTAATTTGTTTTGCTTTTTGACTGGGCTACTTTGATGTTCATTCGATTTTCCTACAGGAAGAATCAAAGAAGAAGATTTCGGAATATCAAACGGCCAAAGATCTCCGGGAACTCCAAATGGCTTGTCATTTGGCTGAGCAGGCCGAGGAGGAGCGCATAATAGTCCGTCAGCGTCTGAATGAGTCGGCGGATCGAATCATCAGTCGGGTAAATGGTTTTTCGGTCGTTTTAGTTGATCTCAAGTCCCTGTTTTCTCACCGATCAGTCGTTATTCTTCAATTTAGGTTTAACGATCTTGACTAATATCCTTCCTCTAGCAGATGAAGAAAACCGACCACCGTCATCCAGTTTGGCCCCTCAATGGGATGCTGTTTCTCCTTGAAATTGTTACTGAATGGGTCTGTTTCTAATAACACTGTTCAAATGTTCCAACAGTAGTGAACTGCCATCTAAGAGTAACCGCGGCGCTTCTTACCAAATTTCCTTGAATTTGTGAGTTTCTTTAAAAGCTATCTTCATCTCTGACAATTTCCCTGACAGAATCAATCGTTATCAAACCGACAGAGAGCACGCAAAGAATCACTCAAGCAAACTCAATTGGCTCCGAAGTCAAAACAATGTAAGATAGTAGACAAGCAGGTGAGTGGCGGTGGATTTCGGGATTAAACATCAATGTTGGTGGGCGGTTTTGTGAATGTGCAACGTTTCAGTCTTGGAAGATCTTGAGGCCAAAGTTAATTGCCGGTGTTTATGAGAGGTGTCAAATTCACGTCCACATCATTCTCATATGAACAGTCCTCTTACTGTCCTGCCGCAGTTTTTCTCTGGTGATGAGTCCACATTAAAGGAGCAGCAGTGGACTTGAGTTTCGCTCTTATTAGCGCAGTACGCAGTAAGCCTCCTTGGCCGTGCCGGGGTTTGAACGATGCAGTTGGTTTGCCCAATAGCTCAACCGACGACCCAGTAGTTGTCCTGATTGTGTCAACCGGCTGACCCACCCGTTCGGACCTCCTAGACAGGTAGCACCACGGAGGCCTATAAACCTCTGAGGCGTGTATCGCAAATGGATAGCATTCGTTTGTCTGGACCAGGTGTGGTTGCCCTGAGAGCAATGGGGGTGATATTCACTGAGTAACCTGACATGAGTTTGTTGCTTTATTAGTGGTCAGTTCACTTTTTCTTCGACAAATGGAGGCTAACCGAGATGAACATATGTGGCTAAGAGCCCTGCCATCCATGGGATAAGATCAAGATCAATAGCAAATTAATTGTGAATATGAAGTGCCTTTAGCGCAATACATTCATTTGTAAGCAAATTTGGCTTTGCGGGAGACGCACCTGGAGCCCACCTGAATCCCTCGTTTATGCTGTTTTCAAACAAATGAATGTGCCTCATGTTTCATTTGGTTTAATATTCGAAATATCGTGATACGTACGATAGACTACGCATAAGTTTGCTGCAAATTCTTCGATAGCCGACGACCGGGAACTGCACCTACCTGATAAGCCCCAAGAAGGGTAAAACCGGTCGTGGGCTGTCGAAGAACTTTCAGCCACCTTATGAGTAGTGTATAATGTCTATGAGGGACTTTTCTTTTTAAGCACCCTGCTTTTTGCCAGATCAACTCTCCAAATTCGATAGATGATTGTGTGTCATTTCCAGATACAATAGCCCCCTTAAGCAGAATGCGATAACAGATCGACCCTATCTGATTACAGAAAGATGAAATTAGTTGATGAATAAGCAAAAATGTCTAGCTTCACCAAATTATCGGTTGCTTGGAAGAATTGTTCCCTCTCGAAGCTAAAATCTCATTGCAGAATGAATGATACTTCTCAGGACTCTGATTAACCAAACACCTTGGGGCTTCTAGAGACTATGGGACAGATGATTCTCTTGGGATCGGTCAAAGTTTTATCTGAGTTTGAACCTTTGGTCTTTTCAGACACCAGTTTATTGAAAAGAGCTTTTGAGGAGAGTTTACCGACTAACCTCATCATTATATTTGCTAATCGTCGATAGGCTCTACGCGATTTTCACTTAATGCTGCGAGTAGTCACATGTGGTCTTATTGTGCAGCCAGTGATTTTGAACAACTGGATACAGTGAGAAACACGTCCAAAGTTAACAAACGTTTCATGAATTTTAAATAAGTGACTTAAAGTTCTTGTGTGAGTTACATGAATCTGTTGGACATCCCTCGGATAAGCACCTGTCCCAAACACCTTGACCAAGTCATAGATACAGTCACAGCTGTGCGTGGATCAATAAACACTCGATATTTATTGGGAAAATAGTGTCCAGCAATTTGTTTTGTATGATCGTGCTTACGTAGGTAAACTGAGCTTGACTTGTTAGATTTGGTGTCTGTCGTAAATTTTTCTCATGTGAAATATGAAAGTCCATTCTACCAGGCTTCTGGAGATGTGCCAGCTACGATGAACCCGTACAACTGGGTTGTTTTCCAAGTAGGCTGACATCTTCAACGATGTTCTTTCTACGAGGAAACCGAAGGTTTCCAAAAGGTTTGTTTTCTTTCACAATTTTAAGTTCATGTTTGTCTCACCGTGATGTTGGCAAAGTATGCCTTGTTGAGAGGGATACATTTTGATACACAGTTGCGAAAGAGGCCAGATACAGGTAGTGTAAATGGGAGAAGAAAAATCGGGCAGGGGGAGTATACTCCACTGTTTTACTAATCCCTACGAAATGAGCTTTTGTGAACACTGCTCTACATAACATGTATGTAATGGTACTAACGCTGCTTTACCACCGCAACGTAAAGCAATTGTTCTAATCAATCCCTTATGTCATTCCCGGATGATCTTGCCATATGATAATGATGAATGGCGCCCGAAGAATTCCTTTTTGACGCTAACAGTCTTCGGTTTTTATCCTTTCAGTGGGGACATGTCAACTCGGTATGACACCCAAACAAATCTGTGTGGTATTTCGGATTGCCGATTGTAACTTGAAGTGACCGCAGATTAGGCTCATTGTTGAAGTAGATATAGGTGCCATGACCTCCATGCTACTGAGCCCAGTGTTTGAGGTTGCTCAGTTAGAGGCAAATGTACAGTAAGTGAGTCTTTTCGCATCGAATTCATGTCCTCGTCGCCTGTCCATTTGACCGAACTACGAATATTTGCAGTCTATTTCAATTCCTCGAAAACCCCCTCTCTTTCGCCTCAGCTGTCATGGTACACTGTCTTCCTGTGTACTCACCAAAACGCTACCCTCTTCTCCTCCCAGGTTTACGCCGAACGTGATTTCCAGAGACTGACGCAATTGACGGATTCATGGAAGCAGCGTCTTGAGGCTCCGCGAGAACCATGCAGCATTCAAACCGGTTTGAACCCGGAGTCTAGACCAATAAGGATGAAGCCGCAGTGGATGAGGAAAGACTGATGATCGATGAATCGACCTGAAGCTCCAGAATTGTCCCCAAAAACATTCATCAAATATTTTTTACAAATAAACTCCTCATATAATTGCGTCTTACTCAGCGGTGAAAACTCTGAATACGGCTCTGACTGACGCTGAATTTGATCCAGACACTTGTTAAGTCGTTAAAATGGAATTTTGACGAAAGGTCTTCTTATCATGAAGTCAACTCCTTGAAGACTTTAATATCAGAAACTATCGCACCTGAGAAAGTCACACTCTGAATCACTTGGAAAGTTTCAACGCATCTTCATTAGTCTCATTTCCCTTTTTCAATAGTTGTAAGTAGACACCCCATATTATCGTGAACAGCAAACGATGTGCACATTTATCGAAAATGCTGGGCATTCACGTTCATAGCAGGAGTTTATTCGGGTGAGAGTGACTTAAAATATGCTTGGATACTTACTAACCTAGCGAAGTGATGTTGAACTTGAAGCAATATGGAAAAAGCCGGGCAGTCACGTTCATAGCAAGAATCACTCAGGTGGAAATAACTCGCAACATGCTTGGATACTTCCTAACCTAGCAAGGTGCTGTTGAAGACTTGAAGCAATAATTCGTAATGCACTACTCATAAGGTCCACCACCGGTTTTGCCCTTCTTGAAGCTCATTAGGTAGACGCAATCCTCGAGTTTCCGTCAACCCTATGTTCTAAATGAAACCAAATTTTACGAAAATAGCGAAATACACGCATTTGCAAAGTAATTTGGTTTTTCGAGAGACTCACCTGGAACTCAGCTGAATCTCTTGTTTGTGATGTTTCCGGGCAACTGAATATGCTGCTCCGGGCCGCCTCATGTTTCAGTCACTACGCTATTCGAGATATCGCGATACATGTATACCTTTGTAATGTACTACTCATAAGGTTGCAGTTAACTCGTCGGCAGTCCACGACCGGTTGGGGCTTGTTCGGTAGGCGAAGCAATGATATTTTAATTTACGTTGAGCTTGTCCAATTTTTATGAACAGTATCACCTTGGAACAAAATCCATTGCCGAAAAACTTCTTCTATGGGCAAGCTACCCGGGGTGAAATTTTTGTAATGCTGTCGAAGGAGGACGTTCTGTTTAGAATTTTTGCGATTCCGTGTGGTTCTCAAGACAAATGGATTTGCAAACTTAATAGAAGCTTCACTTGGTTCGGCAACAAACCGTACACCATTTTGATGGGAACGACGCATGAGGTAAAAAGCATGAAAAAAATTGAAGATGTCAGTCCACGACGTGCCACGGACGTTTCGCTGCTTTTAGCCGATCACAGTTCACTTGGTTCGGCAACAAACCGTACACCGTTCTGATGGGCACGACGTATGAGGACGTAAAAAGCCTGAAAAAAATTAAAGACGTCAGTGCACGACTTGCCTGGGACATTCCGCGGCTTTTGGCCGATCACAAAAAGTAATCTTGAACCATCAGTGGCCTTCGTGTATTTCGGTTTCAGCCTCTCTTTGGGCTACGACGATCTAATTAATGAATACATAAAATTCATCCTAGTCAACTTTCATTTGGGATTTTATTCATTGTCAATCATCTCTTGGACAGGTGCCTTGCACACATATTACAAGACTATTTTTGGCTTTATAGCAGGATAATCTGTTGGGTTGGGATAGATCGAATATGGTGGACGATAAGTCCAGTACACTTTTTGACAGTACTACAATCTACGGTTAAAAACCCAGATTATGGTGAGTTTGAGAATCCCTGCACAAACGACTGTGTATACAATCAGTTGGATTAAGTCACGCTAATGAGCGGGTCAAGATTCAAACGTCTTATAATCCCACGGGCCTCTTCTAAAAACTAGTACAAACA